TCTTTTGAACTGGTTGATCATTTAGGTGATATTAATATCAAGGAAAAGACAATGTGCTCATTTGATGTAAATTCCTTGTTTACAAATGTACCCTTGAAAAAAACCATTAATATATTATGTGATTACATATCTGTAAACAATTTTCAATCATGTGTACCTGTAAAATTTCTTAAAGATTTACTATTATTATGTACTGACAAAGTTCAGTTCACTTTTGAAGGTGAATACCTTCGTCAGATTGATGGGGTTGCTATGGGTAGTCCATTATTAGCAAATGTGTTCATGGCACATGTTGAAAATCTGGCCGATGACCTAATCGGAAACATGTCACTTTATAAGAGATATGTGGACGATATCTTAGTTGTTTGTGAAAGAAAAGAGGATATGTACCGTTTATTAAATAAACTTAACATTCTCCAAAACCATATTAGTCTCTCATGTGAAGAGGAGAAAAACGATCAGCTTCCCTTATTAGATATACTTCTGAGTAGACGAGAAGATGGCTCAGTCAAGCGATCCACTTTTAGAAAACTAACATGGACAGGTCAATACCTTAGTTATTATAGTTATTGCCCTGTGCAATACACATGTGGTTTGATAAGGTGCCTGTTCAACAGGCTTGATCGTATTTGTGCAAATGACGCCATTGATGATGATGTTAGGTTGCTGAATAAAACATTAATAGAAAATGGTTATCCTCTGAAATTCATAAATAGATGGAAAGTCCATTGTACAGTGAGACTTACTGTAGCCTTGGTAGAAACAAAGCCTGTCTACATCACCTTATCATTCAGAGGTGATTCAAATAGCCTTTTATTGAAACAGATTTAAATCAGTCATCAATAAAACGTATTGCGCAGCAAAGGTCATTAACAAAGAAAGAACAAGGTGCATGCTTCATCCAAAACCTAAAAGACATTAAAACGATTGTGTCACATCCCACTGTGTTTACCAATTTAAAGGGAGGAGCAATCGTGATCTAAACATTAGGGTGTGTGAACATGTACCAAAATGGCTGCAGAAACAAATACAATCAAGTGACCCAATAAGAGCAGAGGATAAACATCCATCATCCTCTATTGCTAAACACATAACCACTTCTGATATAATTAAAGGTCATATAGGTGTAAAAATAAATATGGTGATATGATGAGTATTCACGAATAAAACAATGAGAATATAAGACATAAGTAAAGGGGGGAATGCAGTAATAATAATAATAATAATAATAATAATAATAATAATAATAATAATAATAATAATAATAATAGGATAATCGAAATAATTAAGGCCAAGGTAACGATAAGACGTACTTCTTTTGTACGCGTAGTTCTGGTTTAAGCTCCTGGATGGTAAGAGCTTCGGCTATTTTTAACAGTTGGATACGAAGAAATCTGGGTAGATTTGAACGAATCATATAAACAACGTTAAATTCATTTTTTGGATCTGTGGAATGGTTACAGTCGATTAGGTGTTCAAGTATAGAACTCCTAACTGCTTTCCTTTCCCCCTTATGGAACCAAGCTGGAATATGTTCCCGTATCCGAGTTGAAAGCGAGTGCTGGCTACGGCCAATGTACTTTGCTCCACAAGAGCAGGTGAACTGGTAGATGCACATAGAGGCGACCAGACGCGGAAGCTTGTCTTTTATGGACACAGAAAATAAGTTCCTACTCGTGAAGGTTATTCGTAGTTTAGCTGCATTAAATGTTCTTCTAATAGTTGTTGTTAGACGATTTTTGATTACGTCTGATGTTCGATCACCTTTAAATTCCAGACTTATATAAAGGTTTTTCTTCGTAACGGAGCAACTAGGTTTCTTGTCATAACTACTTTTATTCATATTCTTTTCTATGAACCGTTCTGGGTAACCATTTTCCGTCAGGGTTTTCTTGAGGAATTCAAGTTCTTCGTTAATGCATTCCTTACTGCATATCTGATGTATTCGATAACATAAAGAGTGGGTGAGGTTTCTCTTTCTACTTAACGGAACCCAGCTATAGAAGTTGGTTAGCTGCTCATTCCATGTTTGTTTTCTAAAGATGGATCTTTTTAAAGAACCATTACTCCTCATCAGACGTACATCGAGAAAATGAATTGATTGGTCCCGTTCCCTTTCTAACGTGAAGTCTATAGAAGGGTGGCATGAGTTAAAGGTGTGTAAAATATCCTCTAAATCAATATTATTGTCACAAACGATAAACGTGTCGTCCATATATCTGACGTATAGGTGAAATTGACTGATCATTGAGCTTAGTTGGTCGTTTTCTAGTTTTGCCATGAAACAATCTGCTAAAATCGGACCCAATGGAGACCCCATTGCGATTCCATCCCTCTGTCTATATATTTCATTATTGAAACTAAACTGGACATTAAAAGTACAGCGTAACAATAGTTCTTTCAAGTGTTCAGTCGGCAAACCTAGATCTATGTTGTTGGAATCAATGTACTCACATATATAACATATCGTTTCGGTTAAAGGTACGCTAGTGAACAAAGAGTTAACGTCAAGCTATAACATGTGTTTTCCGGAAGTATTAACGTCCTTAATACGATCAATAAATTGAAAAGTATCATGAATAGAAAATTTAGATACTTGCCTTTTAACCGGTTCCAATATTTCCGCTAGCCATTTGGCGATTCTATGGTATGGTGAATCGGACATATCCAAAATAGGTCGTAACGGTAAACCCGGTTTATGTACTTCCGGTAGTCCATATAAGCGCGGGATGATTGAACCCATGGGACGTATGTGATTATATAAATCTTGGGTTATTATCCCCTTATTCTTAAGAGTTTTAACAACATCTGTTAGCTGTTCTTCGATTTGCAAAGTTTTATCAACTTCTTTAAGTTTGGAGAATTCAGTACCATCCTCTAGAATTAATTTCATTTTATCCAAATATTCTTGGCGGTCAAGTAGTACTACACCAGCTCCTTTGTCAGGTTTACTTAGGATTAAATCCTTATTTCTTTTCAGGAGTATTAGCTGATCCAGGTGGTTTTTAGTTAATAGGTTATTCTTACTACATTGTGCATTAACGTATCCATGACTGCAGTCCACTAATGTGGATTTAAAGTGCTGAAAATATTTTGGGGATGTTGGCACAAGATCATGAGTTTGATTTGATAGGTTTTCGAATTGTATTTGTGTATGAAGTCTACTAGTTTTGGAGGTGCTGTTACAGAAATTCGGACCCAATGATAAGGCCTGTATTTGGACTGGTGAAAGTTTATTAGAAGAATGATTAAATACATACTTTTCTGGATGTTCTGGAAACTTCTTAATCACGTCTACGTGTTGCAATGTTTCCAAGTGTTTACGTTTAGCTTTTTGTGACTGTTTTTCCGTAACATTAGTAACATAGTCCTCAAATTGTTTACGTTCATCTAACGACAATTCAAACAAGGCGTGACTTCTTAGAGATATGTTGCGATCTAGTTCGACTTTTCGAGATTTGATAGCATCGATATAATTGAGTGCATGACGTTTGAGTGTTTTTGCATTGGGATGAATGTGGTTTCGCCTTAGTGCCTTCCAGAAACGTTTAGGATAATCATTATTTGCGATACAGCTTTCGAGAAAATTGATCTCACATTTCACTAACGCAAGCTTGACGGTGTAACGTTAGAACCCATTGAGCCCTTTCATCGTCATAAGGTCCTTGCATTTCTTCAATTGACAAATAGTTCCCATTTAAACATATAATTGAAACAGGCCATAAGATTGATCTAAACTCGACTTTTGTGGTGTTGTATAAAAGTGTAAAAGGGCGTATACTAAGGCTTATTGAAGCCTTAGCCATACGAAAACTCAAACCCCCCTTTGTGTATTCAAAAACAGTTTGTTCTTACCTTAAACCACCTACCTTGGTAATATTGACTTATTATCCAGAGTGATCAGGTTTCGAATTGTGTTCACATTATTATTATTATTATTACTATTATTATTATTATTACTCTTATTATTATACTTATCTCCTCTTACTCCATTTCCAGTCTAGTTGACCTTTTATTTATATATATGCTCTTAACAAGTATATGTGTGTTCAGATTGTTCGAAATGTTTTGCGGTAATATATCACATAATTCTGATAGTCTTCGTCTTGTCATTACATTATCGAAATTCATCAAAGGGACTGATTGCTTTAAAATACTCGATAAGATCCATTTTATCAGTAGGTCAGTCTTATTCAACGTAGAACTCAGTACATATGTGCACCGTACCGCATTATTAAACAGATGTTTGAGTAGTATCAGTAATAACTGTTAGTGGTAATTGAAAAGATTAAGCATAAATGTTATGATTGTAAAAATATATGGACTCATGGATAAAAGGCTTAAGAAACTGTGGTATTTGTATTAACTGATGGTTCCTTAGTACTTGATTGCGTGCTGATTACGAACTTCAAATATAATACGTTCATTTGTGCTCATGTAGTTCTACCTGCCTCAAATAATTATTAGTACATCAATTCGGAAACTTCTAATTACCATGGAAACTTATAATCTAAAGGAAGACGGAGTCAATGCACCTGTATTACTGAGAGTGATTCTGAACTTTCTGGCCCGGTTCAGTTCAACAGTCAATGACCTCATGGAATGATGGCGTGTTTTCGTTTGGCTATCTATAGCTTTTTTCCAACCCACCACATTGCGTATCATGTAAATGATGCTTCGGAATCACAGATACCAAACACTGTATTCGAATACATTTACCAAACATTAACTAAACACTGATTGCACTAGTTATCCCGAAAGTTGCATCAGGGTTCCGATCCTACTGGTCAGTCTGCCTATAGATTTATTTAATAAAGCGATACATAGAAAACATAAAACGATATTGCGGTGCCGAGTTGTGAAATTAGTTTAACCGTGACACACTGTTGTTATGAATGAATACATTACACTAATATTATTACACATCCGCATAAAAAATAGTAAACCTCACTTAGTTGAAGAGACATAGAACAAGGTGACTAATGTGGAAAGTACATTACCTGCAGTGTAAAGAGTTGTTTTTTATTCTGAACAATTGCTTCATACAGTGTCCTGTTTGTAGATGAAATGTTTGTTTCACGTCCGAACGTTTGCAATTCATCCAAAATCGAATTAATAGTTACGAGATTCTCTCTAATTCTAGTTTGGTAACAATCTAGTTTTTCTCGACAAGATTTCGTATTATTGATTCCTTTACTAATGTTTTCAATTTCAACAATCAGTTCTTTTGTTTTCGTATCCAATGATACAATGGTCTCTAACTTGTGGTTAACTGACAGACGTGACATCTAAAAGAATTTAAATCAAAACTTGTTACCGTGGCAACCACCTTACAAAGATTTGTTAGAACTGGAATCGAATGCACACACTCAGACGCAATTAATTCGCCAGTACAAAGTTATTTGTAACAGTCACGGGTGTAATTCGTTAATGGAGAATCTCACTAATCATATATATCATTGTTTAATAACAAATAAATGTTAAATAAATTATTATGACGATTTTCATTTTTTAGTTTGTTCACTAGATACTTGAGTATGATTCAAGCTCGAAGTGTGAAGGCTAATGATACTATCCGGTGGCTGAAGTCGAAGCGGGCCGATCGGGATTCGAACCAAGGCTTGGCGGTTGGGAGCTGTATCCAATAACGACTAGGTCACCGTACCAGAGTAAATTACCAAAAACAGTGTTAAAGGAAAGCTTTATTATGTGAGGAATAGCTGTGGAACATGGTTATCCAAACTGGGAAAAAATTCAAGCATGACTTACGTGAAAAGAACATTGGGTTATGCGTTTAATATCCAAAAAACAGAACAGTAAATGCTATTTGGATCACTATAGCCGACGTTATATATCACAGTAAAACCAACATAAAATACTCAATAAACATACAAAAACAAAAATTTCGATAACTCAATGAGAAGACAGAGTTAATCTGGAAAATGTGATGTATTTGCGCCATACATCCCGAATAATCTGGTCACATATACTTACCAAGGCATTTTATATGAAAATTAATAAAAGTCAATTAAATGAAGGTCGAAGTAAGCAAAGTAACAAAAGAGAAAATTAACATCGTATAGAAAGAATGAGAAATTGTCACAATACCATAAGTTATAAAATGGCTTAAGGATTACCAGAGTAAATTCAAGGTTGCGACTTGTTTTTGTACACACAAGGAAGTTTTAATTTACGAATACATGAGGCCTCTATAAACCAGAGAATTCGTCCTTGAAATTTCCTCATTGTGCATGCCGAAATTTCTGATTTATTGACAGATTCTCAATTCGAAAATCCCAATGATCAACTGAACCCTCTGGTCCCAATAGCACTAGATAAGTGAAATTGGTTGATATTGTCCACCAATTTCACGGTTCTCAAATTAGATAGAAGAGTATTTTGACTTCTAAACATTTCGCTGCTTTAAAAAACCTCCAAAGTAAATCAAACATCGTGATCCTCAAACGTGGCAAAGGTTCTCGGGTTGTTGTTATTAATACATGTGACTATAAGGTAAAACTTTTATCTATACTTGGTTATCAGAGTAAGTTCTTAGAAAACGTTCCATCAAATATTAATGTTAGAAAATTGGAATACAGAGTACAGTTCAATCTACCGAAGCTCTTTAGAATGAATGTCATAAACAAAAAAGATCTTAATATGCCGAAACCTTCCGGCCCTGTTTTCTCGAGTTTATATGGATTGTCTAAAATTCATAAACCCAATAATCCATTACGACCAATATTATATATGTGTGGTTCACCTAAACATGATCATGTTTAGGTGCTAGTTCGAACTAGCAGATTGGCTAGTGAAGCTGCTAAACCTAATTCGTAATAAACTATGCAAGTTTTCTTTAAAAGATACATTTGAACTAATTGATCTTCTTGAGGACATTAATTAATATTATAATACTAAAGATAAGACTTTGCATTCTTTTGATGCAAACTTTCTTTTTACAAACGTACCGTTAACTAAGACTGTTGGTTTCCTTTGTGAGCATATATCTAATAATTCCCCTCTTTTCTTATTCGGTCAACACTTGAAAAAAACTACTTTTATTATGTACTGCAAATGTTCAGTTCACGCGCGATTCAAATGGTTCAAATGGTTGTGGACGGAATAGAAGAAGCTTTCGCTTAACAGGCTTCCGTGTCTAGTAGCAGGGGATCACCAAATCCTCCAGGCAGGAACCTAGGTATGTTAACAATAAAAGAGGAAAAGAAATTGGTAAATCATAGTGCGATGCTGTCCTTGGTCCTTAAGAATAGGTCAAGTTGCCTCTTGAAGGACTCCTGAGAAGTCGCTTGGACTAGCTCGGCCGGCAGCGAGTTCCAGCTTTTGACAACTCTTAAGGAGTAGAAGTTGTGTCTACATTCCGTCTTGCTATGTTGTGTTTCCAGTTTCTGGGTGTTACCCCTTAGGTTATTGTTCGAACTAAGCTTAAGTAGGTGTTTAAGAGGATGTCCAGAAGTGTTAAGAATACTATAAGCCATTAATAAATCACCTCTAAGACGCCTATATTCTAGTGGGTAAAGGTCTAGTGAACGGAGGCGTTCTTCGTAAGGCTTAGATTTGAGTCCTCGAACTGATTTCGTGGCTCGCCGTTGGATACGCTCCAAAGTGACCTTATCCTTTTGGAGTGAGGGGGGAGTACTATGTTTCCGTACTCTAAATGGGGACGGATGAAACTATTGAAGATTGTGTGGAAAGTTCTTCCGTCAAACTGACCAAAAATGCGCCTCAACGTTACCAGTGCAAGGTTTGCTCGGAAGGCATTTTTGTCACAGTTAGCGTAAGACTTTAAGTCATGGGGCACCAGGACTCCTAAATCTTTTTCGACTTGGGATACTACTAGAGAGGAGTTTCCTAAGTTGTAACTGTAGTTTGCGACATGTCGCAGATGGACTACTTTACACTTTGAAGTGTTAAAGGTAAGTCCGTTATCGTCTGCCCAACTTTGAAGTCGAGTCAGATCCTCTTGAAGTGCCTGTATATCGTCTTGGTTGCGTATCTCTCTCCAAAGTTTCACGTCGTCGGCAAAAAGTAATAAGTCTGACGTTACCTGTTGAGGAAGATCATTTATGTAGATCAAGAAGAGAAGAGGCCCTAGTACTGAGCCCTGGGGGACCCCACTAGGACATTCCATAGCTTGAGATAAAGTGAAATTAACCCTAACCTTAAAGTGTCGATTTTTTAGGTATGAAGTAAGCCAGTCGATTAGAGGTGGTTTGATACCTAGTCGTTTGAGCTTGTTGATAAGACACAAGTGGTTAACCTTATCAAAAGCTTTTGAGAAATCAAGGTAAATGACATCAACCTTTCCCTTGCGATCGAGGATGCTTGTCCATCTGTCCACCGCACTCAGCAGGTTGGTTATACAAGAGTAACCCTTCCTGAAACCATGCTGTTGGGGTGAGAAGAAATTTAAGGACAGTAGGTAGTCATTTAAACCGTCGCATATCAGGGACTCCATGAGTTTTGAAGGTAACGACAGAAGAGCTACCGGCCGGTAACTTGAAGGTTCATTGCGTCGACCACCTTTGAAAATTGGTGTGATGTGAGCCAACTTCCAATTTTCCGGTAGTTTGCCTCGGCTAAGCGAGTGTGAAAACATCACGCTAAGCGGCGTTGCCAGGATTGAGGCTGCCTCCCTCAGTATGGCAGGATGAACCATGTCCGGGCCAGGAGAAGTGTCGAGTCTTAAGTGCTGCAGTTTCCGGAACACCAAGTCAGCGCTTAGGTCCACTTCAGAAAGTCCTGTGGAATTGCAGATGAAACTGTCGTCAATAAAGTTGATATCAGCCGGTTGAAATGTTTGAGAGTAATGGGCCGCCAGAAGGTTAGCGGCGTCGCCATCGTTGTTGGTCGGGCCGTTAGGACCTAGCAGTTGAGAAACTCCTGTTTTGGCTTGACGAAGAGAGGCTGCATAACGGAATAGGCTTCTAGGGTTAGAGGCGAATTTGTCCATAAGCTTTGTTTGGTACTGAAGCCTGTCTTCTCTTATAGCCTTCGTGCATGTGTTCCTGATATGTTTGTATTGCCTATACGCTCCATCGTTATTAGTTCGTTTGTATTCCGCCCAACAGTGCCGTTTGCGGCTTAGGAGGCGAAGGGTACGGTTCTTGATTACTGTAGGTGGCTTGAAGCTTTTGGGAACCGTTTGAGGAACTGAATGGTCTGTAGCACATAAGAGCGTGTGCAGCAAGAAGTCCCAATGACCATCCACATCGATTTGAGGGTGAACATCCCAAGCCACCTGTTGTAGATGGTCATGTAGAGCTCGCACATTCAGCCGTTTAAAATTCCATCGCAAATTATTGTTGGGATACCTTAGCTTAGTTTTGATGACAAAACTGAAGGCTATGACGGCATGATCGCTTTTTCCCAGAGGAGCCAGGATTGAGAGGTTGTCGACTAGGAATTCTTCGTTAGTGAATACACAGTCTAAGCGCGATGGTGTCTGACTGTTTCTCCAACGAGTTGCCGACCTCACATTTTCATATAAGCCCAAGTTATCGATGAGGTTGAAGAACCGAGCTTCAGTTGAGTTGTCGCCTCCAGTGTACGTGTGTTCCGCGAAGTTGACTCTAGGGAGATTAAAGTCCCCTAGAATCAGGATGTGTGTGAAACCGAGACGGATAGAGCGGGATAGTCCTTCCAGCATACGACTATCGTACTCGGTGTCGGCAGTTGGCTTCCTATAAATGACTCCGACTAAACACCTGGAAGTACTAGACAACCTTACAGAGCACCATATGGATTCCTCAAGATTGTTAAACTCGAGGTTGTGAACCTGGTGCACCTCCAAGCAAGAGCTTATGTATATGGCTACTCCGCCCCCAATTCCTATTTTTCTGTCGTTGCGGAACAAAGTCATCCCAGGCAGTGCTAACTCTTGATCCGAGAACTGAGAAGATATCCAGGTTTCAGATATTCCTATCAGATGGGCCTTGTTAGCGTTGCTAAGTTCACGTAGTTCATCCAGTTTGTTTGGTAAACTCGCGGCGTTCATATATAAGCAGTTTATGCTTTCAATTTGGAACGCATGAGCTTCGTCCTGTTTTTCTGTATGAACTTTATGTGAATGGACAGGTAGCCCACCTATATGAGGTTTGCCGAGGTGGTAGGCCCTGTCCTTTACACGTTTTTTTTATCGTTTAGACAGTCCACAAGTGGAATGGTCAGCTCCAGCTTGCCTTTGTTCTTGGTCCTGACTTCGTATGGCCTATCCGGGTGCATGTGGATTCCAGGTGGCAATCGACGTCTATTAGCACGAAATGCTTCCA